TATATATATATATATTATTCAGATAAATTGCTTGGCAGGATAAATTGTGTCAAATATCTGCCACCGTTGGAGAGGAAGCATGTATAGTGGAAGGTCAATGGAGAACCTGTGTCCCTACTTTCCCTTTACTATTCATAGCTCTGCAATTTGGGGAAAATTACTTATTTTATCTAAGCCTTCATTTCAGCTGCAGAGTCATTTTGTGATTACTGAGATGGTATATATTTACATATTTTACAAACTTTAAAAAGATATTCAAATGTTGATTATGAAATTATAGTCAATTAACAGAAAACACTTATTGAATAAATGAAATGACCTTAATGCTACTTGATCACAGTTTACAACATATGCCCAAGAAACAAAAAGAGATAGGAAGAAAGCTAAGGGAGTGATTTTTCCCTTTTTCTTTATTGAGAAAATAAAAAAAAATTATCATTCTAACTGTCTACTGGAGCTGATCAATGAACCCCACGGGGACAGGATGTTCTAAACTGAGTTGACAAGCTAACGTAGATTAATACTAGCATATAACTTCTTCCACATGGAAATGAAAGGTAGTGAAATTTTTTGGCCCACATGTAATCTGTGGGACTGGGTTGAAACTGGGCAAATTGATGTAATAGATAGCAAATGACTAACTAAACACTTAGGCAAATATGATCTAGAATGGTGGTTCTCAAATATGGCTGTACATTAGAATCACCTGGAAAGCTCTGACATACTCCAGAACGATTAAGTCAGAATGCTGAGGGATGGGACACCAGTCTCACTCACTGCCTCTCAACTGTGGTTTTTCCACTGGCATTTAGGATGATTAATTGTGTGTCTCAATTTGGCTAGGCTATGGTTCCTGTGGTGGTGAAGTTTTTGTGTCAACTTGGCTGGGCCTGGTTGAGTGGCTGGGCAACTGGTGGTAGTTATTCCCCAGGGTGAGATTGGTAATTAACTCCATGGTGGAATCTATTGGAGCAGCTGAGTAGCTGCTTTGGGTATATGGTCTGCTTCCCGTATATAAGTAACAGCTTTGGGAATGGTCTCTAGCTTATGGCACGCTTAAACCTTGCATGTTCAGCAGCCCGCCATGCTCTGCCAATCTTGGGACTTTTAATGGACTTGAATTAATGGCCTGCATGTGGTTTGGTAGCATCGGGATTGTGCCTTGTTACTTGTTGACCTTGGGTTTGTCAGCCATAGCAGCCAGCAGTTGTCTGAGTGAAGAAAAGCCTCTAGCTCCAGTGGGCCAGGAGCAGGAGGCAGAGCTGAAGCCCAAGGTTGAGGGGCTTTCACCAGCTCCTAGAGTCTGGCACTTCGAACTCAGACTTAAAGCCTCTAAATTGTAAGAATAAACTCCTGTTTGTTAAAGCTATCCTATTTGTGGTATATTCCTATCAGAGCAGCACTAGGTAACCAAAACAGTTCCCAATTGTTAGGCTAAACCCTAGTTTAGTTACTGTCGTGGAGTAGTTACATGTGATTATATGAGTTGGCCTTTGGTAGAGCAGGTTACTCTCCATTATGCAATCGAATGTAAGGTAATGAAACAATCAGTTGAAGTCTTGTTAGCACAGAGCGGATTCTAAACCAAATCACTTCTGAGATATGAAAAGACCAGAATAGGCACAGATACACACCCACACCCACACACACTCACAGGGAAGACTGCTGACAGACCTGTCTAGAAGCAAAGAACCCCAAGGATTATGGGCAGACACTAGAACTAGGAAAAAGGCCCAGAGAATGAATCCACATGTGTGAGACCCTGATTTGGACTATCAGCCTCTAAAACTGTGATCAAATGAATTTCTGTTCTTTAACACCATCCCCTTATGGTATTTCTGTTTCAGCAGCACCAGGTAATTAAAACAGTATTTAAATATCTTGAGAGTCAAAACAAACAAGCAAACTTGCTCTGTGTTCACAGGCTACATATGGTCATCTATTTCTCCTTTTCTTCACAACCAAACTCCGTGAAGAGGTTGTCTGCACTGATTGTATGTGGCCCCTGCAACTCACCTCAGTGTGCCTTCCCTCTCATCTCGACAAGGTCACCAATGCCACATCACTAAATCCAGTGGAGGTTTTAGTCTTCCTTTCACCTGAGCTTCTCTGTGAACATCCTTTCTCCCATGGGTTCCATGACATCACACTCTCTGGGTCTTACTCCTGCCTTGCTGGCCTCACTATTGTAGGCTTATACTTCTCCACCTCGTTACTAATGGTAGAGTTCTTGACATTTATGCTGTAATTTCTCATCTCCTGTGAGCTTATAATACTCAGGGAATATCATTAGTAGATCCTGAAAAAAATGGTTTCCATCACCATTTGTGTGTGGTTGATTGTCAAGTTCACTTTTCCCCTGAGTTATGCATACATATAAACTAGCTGCTATTTCACATCTCTATTTGGAAGTCTCAAAGGTATCACAAACTGGAGTAATCCCCTGCTACTCATGCACATAGTTATGTATATTTTCCTTCAAAGTACATATCAAATTTGTAATTATAATATAATTTATATGAGTGTTAGAGCTTCTCCCATCTTAGAGTGTAAGCTCTGTGAGGGCAGAGTCCAGTTATAATTTTACTCACTAGCTCTTCTTCTTTTTCTTGGTAATAAAATTTTATTGCGCTTTTGGTGAAAGTTAGCAAAGATTCCCATTGACAATTTCCATACAGATTATTCAGTGACATTAGTTTCTTCTTCCACAATGTGCCAACATTCTCTTTAATTGTGTTCTGGTTGTTCCATTTCTAGTACTCTAGTTTCCCTGCTCTCTTATCTTCTCATCTTTGCTTCAGAGTAAATGTGGATCTTTTGGCCTCATATAGATTTTTTTTTAGTAGAGCACCATACTTCTGGGTAATATGCTTTATTTTGTATGCCACTCTGCTATTTTACTAAAAAGGTGATCTTAGGCAACAGTTTCCATTCAAGGTTTAAAGAGTGTCTTAGGGTCATAGTCTTAGGGAGTCCTCTGATCTCAACTGGTGCAGTTAGTCTAATCTTTTTTAAGAACTTGAGTTTTTTTTTTTAATATATTTTTCTCCTGTTCTATCCAGGACCATCTACTGTGACTGCAGTTAGAATGGTCTCACTATCACTTCTCATGGTTCTTAACACAATAATAAGTGCTTAACATCTGTTATAATAATAATAATAATAATAATAATAATAATAATAAAATCAAGGGATGAATGAAAGCACAAATGATTTCTGTTATGGGAAATAAAGCCTTCCTAATTTATTTGAGGCAAAATGTAAATATGCACTAAAAGAGAAAAAAATAGATAGATAAATATTTTAAATGTATATGACATGCTATGAGTTGTATATCTAGGTTAAATCATGAGGCTTTAAAAATTACTTCTTTACATTTTATTATAATTTCCCAATTTTTAAAATATGCCAGATCTTGCATTTATAATTATAAAAAGTTAATTAAAAAGAAAAATAAAAAAGGAGTTAATAAGAGTCTACAATGAAGTAATAATAGTATTGGATAGTGTAATTCATCAAGGATTAGAAACATTTAGAAATAGGAAACAAAGAGTAAGGATAAAAAAATGCTTCTCCGTATGGCATATTACTT